TGTCTTACGACTGATAAAAATTGTACCTAGAATACATGTTAATATCTGTATTTACCAAGCATTACCATTCAGGTCTCCAAAAACGAACAAGACCCCGCAGAACAGTCTTCTGCAGAAATACCTGAAGCCTAAAGTTATTCTGTCACACACAGATGTCACCATGCGCCCAAGCATTAATGCTACAAACTTTCTGAATACAAAAAACACAGTTTCTGAAGCTGAATGCCTGTTTTCACAGGTGAAACGGGACGCATGCAGTTATCTGGGTCTACACAAATACACTGTCACCTCCCTCAAATACAACACGTGTGTATATTCACACACATACAGTCCACTTTCATAAATAACCTTAGAAAAGCTAAAGTGAAAAGAGAGGGCATGTATTTCATTAATTGCTGGAAGTCTAACCGTGTCTGCAGAAAGAAGGCATCCAAGAAGTCCAGACCGTTTATAAAACGCATTCCTTCCAATTTAAGTTGAATTTTTTGCCTTTTTTTTCCCCACAGTAGTAAAAATGCACAACTCACAATCATATAATTACCAATAATTGTATGTACTAACATAAGTTATAACCACTCTTACCTAAGAAAATAAGGTACCAACGATTCTTCTGGAAGCCATTCAGGAAACAAGGTATTGTTCATGGAACTCTACCTGAAAGAAAAAAAAAAATACACTCAGCATTTTGCTTTAGAAAATTAGGACAAGATGCTTGAAATTTATTGACCTTTTGATGATTATTAAATTAAGAAAAACTTACAATAGCAGTAACTGCATCTTTATAACTCAACTCTAAAAATAAAAGTACGGGTGACTGTACATGCTTGGCTGAAGAAAAACACAGGAGATGCAGAGTGACTGACACACAACAAGCACGATCTCTATTTCTGCATGAAGAGCTGTAATCTGCTCTTCTGTCTCCTATTCCTTTGACCAAAAGATCAAATGCTTAACCAGTTTAGCTTTTCCTTAGGAGTCATTTCTGTATTGCAGAACGCTTCTCAGTCCCTGCACTCTTCCCACATTAAAGTCCCTACAAGTAGGCTATGCAACGCTATTTTAAATTACTTGCTATCGCTGCAAGTTCTGAAATGGTTTCTGTCATTGGCCTCTCTGAATGCTAAGTCAAGAGTTACCTCATTTCCCCAAATAAGGTTTCTTTCGTGCCCCTCCGAATAGAATTTAAAGCCTCCAGCTCTCCGACCTTCATGAGATCCCAAACCGTGCTCCTCCACACACCCAACCCATATCTGCATTACCTTCAGCCAACTTCCCTCGCTTTTTGTGCAAAGCCTCAACATTTAATCCTGCAGCACTCACATTTGCCATCGCTACTTCATACTCTGGAAGAAGTTTGAAATAATCCCATTCATATGTGGGTAAATTAAAAATCGTTTTCATGTTACGTTAAGGATTTAAATTATAAGACCAACATCCCACGTACACAAAAATGCACAGATATTAAACAAAATACGTTAAAAATTACAAGCAATTCATTGTGAGCGACGGCTGCTATTTTGGCTTCAGCAGCTGAAAGAAACAAACCAAAGCTATCTGAAAACATGTCCCCTTACATACTAAAAGAGCAAAAAACTACAGCTCCCCACCTAAAGCTAGAACTTTCTTTTCTGCAAAGTCTGCATGTCAGAACCTGTTCTACACTGCAGAACTGTTGCTGGAATTACAAAGCCAGAACCCAAACCTAAAACAAAGATATGAAGCACCCTGCATAAAGGTGATACAAGTCCAATGGCTGCTCAAACTTCTATCTCCATCTCTAAAAAAGGCCACTTTCATTGTTGCCACGATGGATTCGTGTTTGCAGAGGAAAAAAATGAAAATGTAGGTTTACCTCTAACTGCAGCATTTAAAACCTGCACGGAGTTTTATAATCTTGTACAACAGATGAATGCAATAAATATGGCTACACACAATATCCAATTAGAACTGAAGTTCTTAATATTTACCTCCTGCTTTACTGCAGTGACTTCTTACACATTTGGAATTACAGCTTTACCCCTAAATTGTTAATTGCTGAACGTAAGCCAGCACAAAACAAACATCAGATATTTAAACTTGCATTTTCCAAAAGTCTTGCAATAGCTGTCGGACAACTTCTAAATTATTAACAAGCAAAACAACGATAGAAATGCTATATAAACTGAAACGACTGCAAGCTCCCTGAAAAATGCACGGATTGAACACTAGGAATAAAACTGTCACCCAATAAATGCTTTTTAAAAGCTTCTACTGTCACACGGGAACCCATTCGCCTCCGTATCGCGTAATTCCTATTTAAATAAGTACCTTCTCTTCTCCTGCCATCGCCTAAATCACAACTGTAGTATTCTGCCAACTTCAAACTACAGACTTGGCACCACCGATCTTTGTTTTCCTCATGTTTGGAAGTTTTCATATTGCCATTTAAATAGTAAAATCGTATCATCCGTAATTGTTGGAGTTTTCTTTAAAGTTCAGCACCTGAACAACTGTTTTCCAAGTGCGGTATATTCCTATCCATTGTCTCAATAAAGTACCGAGCTGTCTCATCCGCAGCCTGTTTTTTTTTACTTGCTGGTTTAGAAAGAGTTAAAAGCCAACACCCCACCAAAAAAAACCACTAAGTTTTATTTTTGAGAGAAAAGGACATGGCGTCTTTGTTCTTATCAACTACGAAAACATACCCCCCATCCGAGAAGCGACGGGCAACAAACGCTCTTTAAACGGACGGGAGCTTCGGGGCTAAGCACGTAACCACTGCCGTGCCACGGTCCGCACCCCCCGAGTTCTCGCCGCTGCAGCGGAGTCGTAGGGCGGCTCGGCGCTGCACGGAGCGGTGCGGCCCCGCAGCCCCTCGTCCGCTTGCCGCAGCACCGGGGCCGCCGCCCGCCGTCGCCCCCATCCACGACTCCCCGGCCCGGGGCCGCCCTGCACGCGGGGGGCGGGGAGCGCTCCGCAGCCCCAGAGGCGGCGGGGAGGACGCGTCGTAGCGGGACTCCCTCCGCGGCACCCCGACCCCAAGGTTCCCTCTCGGCCCGGAGGGGCTCGGGGAGAAGAGCCGGGGTCCCCCGGGCCGCCCTCGGGGAGAGGGGCGGGGGTGGGGGGGGAGGACGGGACGGCGGGAGCGACGGCGGCCCCCTCCCCCTACCGGCTCCAAGGACGTTTTGTTTTTCCTCCCAAGGACAAAGGACAATGAGGAGCAGGGCGGCTCGGGCACTTACCGGCGACTGCAGCCCGCTGCCGGCCGACGAGGGCCCCGAGCAAGGGGCACTGCCGCCCTCCTCGCCCCGCCGGCGCCCGGGGGACGGCTCCGCGCCCGCCCGCCGAGGGCGAGGTTCGGGCAGGGCTCGGCAGCCCGGCGCCATTGCCCTTCGCCCGTCGCAGCCCTTCGGCGGCTCCCCCGGCCGCGCTCCGTCGCCCCCGGAGACCCCGCAGCACCGGGCCCGACGTGGCCGCCGAGCCCGGCACCCGGAGCGCCCGCCGGACCCCCCCGTTCCGGGCGGCGGGGAAAGCGCCCGGGAGCCGGGCGGCGGCGGCGGCTGCTTCCCCGGCCATCTTGTGCCGTGTGTGTGAGGGAGTCTCTCCCGTCTCCTCTCAACTCCTTCCTCCCCTCCCCCCCGCACAACATGGCCGCCCGCTCGCTACTCACTGCGGCGAGGAAGGGGCGGGGCCGCCCCTGCCCCCAACCTACGGCGCGCGGCGCTCCCCCCCGCCGCCGCCTCCGACTACGCGTGCGCGGCACGCCGCTCTCCATTGGCCGCGCCGCGCCCTCCCCGCCGGGACCGAGGGCGCGCACCGCTCCTATTGGCCGCGCCGCGCCCTCCTTCGACCTCCCCGCTCCGAGCTCGCGCGCACCCCAGCCGCCGTCTCCCGTTGGCTGCGCGCACCGCAGCTCCCCGCCTCGGAGGCCGCCGGCCGCCGCCCATTGGCTCCCGCCCGCCTCCTCGCGCCCGCCCCGCCCGCCGCGGGCTCGCGTCCCGTCCGCCCTGGCCTCCCCTCAGGGGGAAGGAGGCGGCGGGAGCCGGCCGTGAGCGCCCACCCTGCCGGCGGCGCCAACCCCACCTGGCCGGGGCATCCCCGGCTCCACCTAGCCTCGGCCCCGCTCGAGCTGAGCACCGCCTCCTTCCCAGACGGGGCTTCGACAACCCTCAGGCGCTCACAAAGTGCCTCAGCTCTCATTCGTCCTTGAGGCAGGACATCTCGCTTGGGCCCTTCCAGCAGCCGTGTCCGGACAGGGCCCACCTCACCACATACCGCAGAGATGTTTCTCCCTTCACCCTAGTGCCTTCTCTGAGGCCTCCACCTGCTCCACATGCCCATCCATGCAGACAAATGCACTGCAGGAACTTCTTACCTGCCTGCCTGCAGCATCACTGTCTGCATTAGAGCCTCTCAAAAACACCACAAGCGCCCAAACACAACACAGCACCCTGCTTTTTTTAGCCAACACCATAGAAACTGGCTCATATGGCAACCTCAGCGGGATGCTGTCTCCTATTTTGACTACTGCCATGGAAACCAGATACCAAGAGGATGGGAGCATCCCCACGTGCTGGCCAGCATCTGAGATGTCAGCCTGCAGCCAGTCAGTGAGGATACTGCTCTGCACCCAGCTAACGTGACAATGACATAATTAATATTTACATGCTTCAGCGATCGCAGTGAGCGATTAGCATGCCTTTCTCCTTCTGTTTGTACAGCTTACTCTGTTAAAAGCAAAAAGATGGCCCGTTCTTCCCCTATTTTTAAACAGTAATGCAAGTAGCTATGGCAGCAATTAAGTCAGCAATACCTGAAATGTTTGGGGAAGGCCTATAGAGAACTAGTCCGGCACTGGAAATCATGCAATTGGACTGCAGCAGCAGCCTCCTGAATTGCAGCCCTGGAAAAGCCAGTATCTGGTCAGCTGGAAAGAATCATTCACTAATGTCCCCAAGGATAATGATTCTGAGCTGGGAGATGCATTTCTTTGCAAAATACAGAGAAACGCAGACCTCTCTGCATAGGATAGGTGGAGACAATTTGTATGGCAGGACTGCACAAATCTGCTGCCTTACAGACTGCGGTGATACAGCATTAGCAGTCTCCTAAAAGCAGTGCTGGTGGCCCACATGGTGATAAAGGGAGCCTCCAGCCAAGGAAGTACTGGTGGGGCAAACACGCAGATATTGGATTCTCACTGGCAGAGCACAAAAGGCCTTTTGATTTTTCTCCACAAGCAGAATCGGAGATCTGGTTTGTTGAAAATATGGGGTACAGGGAACCTGTTCTGCAGCTTCATTTCCATTCAGATTCTTGCAAAGCAAAAGCTAATCCTCTTGCTCTCAGTGGAACTGTGCATGCATAACTGCATGCAAAGGTGCTGGCACGCACAGAACCCAGGTGCTGCCTGTGCTCCTTGGAAGATCACCAACAACGAAGAGAAGGGAAAGCCAACCACTATGAGGCACAAATCAGACAGAAGTACAGTACAGCAAAAGCACTGCTACTTACAAGGCATCGTCACTCAGTGTGGAAGGACCGTCTTCACAGCAAGGGTAAAGACATGAAGTTCAATATACGACTCCTAGCCTTTCTGCTGTTTCTTCCCAGAACACATTCCTAGAAAAGCATATCAAGTACGATCACTTGTGACAGCCACATGAAATGGAAAAGATCAAGTGTTTAAGACATAACTGCACTTCGTAAGAATAGTGTGGTTCTAGCCAGAATGGTTTAAGGTTATAACTGAACAAGACCTGACCTGCACGCTTATCTGATTTTCTCCAACACCCCAGGACTACCTAATGTAATACATTATTCATCTTTAAAAACATATTTATTCCTGTACCTTCTACAGATGTATGTTTTTAACAGTCGATTACTCTACTGCGTTTAAGTATAACCAGAAAGTTACTGGAAGTCTAATATCCTAATTAAATATAGTCAGTGCTGCTCATTTGCTTCCTGGCCACCAAGGCAAAAGCAGCTCCAAAAAGACTGACAGAAGGATCCATTTCTCCTCCTCTTTCTTGGCTTCTAGTGAGCTGTACGTAAGGGAATGTAAGTGCAGTCACTCCAACCAGTCACTACACTCATCAGACAAATTTCGTGTTCATATATCAATGACACACCATTTGCATTCTGTTTTCCTACTAAAACGGAAGAACAGTGCTAGTTTCCTTTCTCACACTTTCATCTCCCATGGTCAGCTCCGCATAAACACTAAATTCTTGTTCCTACCACCTCTATGGTTTCTAAATTTCTTATTTCTGATCAACTGCAATTTCCTCTATACACTGTATTCTATTCTAGACAGCACTTTCTTTTTCTGGCTTCCTGTATCGTTAAACCAAATACTTCACCCATGTTTTATGAACCACTTGTCAGAGAATAATGAGGCAACTTAGGGTTTCCATTACTAATTTGGGAAATGCTTTCTGAGACTGCATCTGTGGCTACAACTCCCAATTCAGGCACCCAATTTTATTCTATGAGCTTTTAACCTTCCTCCCCAGCTTCCATGAAGGTCATTATCAAACAGGACAACAGAAGCCCTTCAAAAACATAAGCTATTTTGTGGTAGGCATTTAAATTCCTCCAGTGTGTTCACAGAAATTGTCACTTCGTCCTAAACTAAGTCTACTCCTACATTCCATTCCTGTATATAATGTGTTAATAAAATAAACAGTGTTTTCTCTTGTGTTTCCTTCTTATTAATTCACCATTAAAAACACAGTAACACCCAGGCAAATATAAATTACCTTTGATCACACTTCTGAAAACCTGCAATTTTGGAGCAGCGTGCACCAAGGCTGAGTGAACAGAGCTGCAGCTGCACTGCTCTCATTTGTGGACTTTTCACAATGACTGATATTGATTTGACTAAACTTTGACACAGAATAATGTCAATAAACAGAAAGGTAAATAGAGACAAAGTTCTTCTAAGCACAGAACCAACTTCCCTCTGTGGCTGCAAAGATTATTATGGTATATTGATCCTAGCTGAAGTTTTTTGCTACTTTCACACAGCAAGCAGTGATAGCACCAACAGTTCTAGCAGTCAGTTCATGCTGTTCATTCTCCTCTGGGTCTGGAACTGGAATTCAAGCTCAGACCTTTGTTCCATCATGTAAGGAACAACTGCAAACACATCTACATGGAGAAATTTTGCATACGCCCTTTTTGCTGCTATGACTTAATGCTGAAAATGACAATTCTGTTAATATGGCACTTTTGCTAGCACTTTTATGGTGCTCCCATTTAGAACGATGAACCTTTTGAGCAGCAAGAGAAAGTTTTATTACCAAGAATAATTTGAAACAAATTTTTGTCGCTGTCACAAGCATATGGTAAAGAAAATAAATCTTTCAATCCGCTGCGCCATATTCCAGTACTTTTTGCAGCTTACTCAAAATTAAACTCTTTTAACCACAATTCAGCTCTTTTTATGTTTTCAAAGAAAAACAATTTATCAATACAAAAATAATATCATAAGGAAAATGAGACATTGAACTAATATCTTTTGTGGCATTTAGTCTCCTATCCTAAGCAATTTTTTTGACTTGTTGGTCAGAACACAAAGAATTGATACTGTTTCTGTACACATGAAGTTGTGGTCTGAGCTCAGATTTTAGATCTAAGACCACCCAAAAACCTGCCCAGCTCATTTCATTTGGTGTGAATTCCCACACACAGTAAGGCAAACAGAAAAAAGGTAACTACTGCCTGGTGCTTACTGCACTTTATATTGACTTGACCAAGGAATACACACTTGTTCTTCTGGAGAAATCTAGAGCTCTTTTCTTCAAGGAGCTCTGAAATTTGAAGTTTGATGCTTTTATATATTTAGCTGCTGGAGCTTATTACCACAGCTACTCGTATGGAATGCCCTGGTTTGTCAAGTTTGGTTCTTGGGTAACTATTAAACTATTCTTCTTGGCTTGGCAAACTTTTATGAAAGGAGTGGGACATTGTAGAAAAAAATACTGATCAACTCCTTCCACGCACCTACTTGAACACCTGAATCTGTACAAGTGCTAACAAGTATCTGGACACGAAGAAGAATGATGCAACTCTGCTTATAACTGACATCACTTCTGAAAGCAAACGAGATTAATGTGGACATTCCCAGGAACTTTAACACCAACAGCTACAGGATGTGAAGTCAGGCTGTATCACTTGAGTTACGCGCTTTAACTTCTCTGTACTGACACTCTTCACTGCTTTGGAAACTTAGGAGACTTGATAGTTATGCAAAGGTCAGACAAATCTGTAGGGTTTGAAATGAAGAACTGCAATCGGTATTCTTACCATTCTGGCTGTAAATACAGTCTGCAGAGTCATAGAAGTGTTCTGCTGTGATGGGGAATGGTCACCATTTCATCTTGAGTCAGAAAAGAAAAAAAAAAAAAGAAAGCATTGGCAAGGTTAGGAGAGCTGCGCCCAGCTTCATGTTTCAAAATAAAGACACCATACTCCTGTGTTCCAAGGTAACACACAGCTGATATGCAAAGAGTTAAAAATTTTATAGTTTTTAAACAAAACCTTCAGAATATTTGGATTTCAAATACAACTGAAAAAAAAAATTTAGAACTTCTAGAAAGTTAATGTAGTATTTTTCAAACTCCAATAATTTGACATCCTACCATGACTTGTGCCCTGCACAGATTTAAATTTTACTTCCTGAAATCATTCATCTATTCATCCTTCCAATTTGTTTTCTTCAAATGCGAGTCAGTAACGTTTGATTGCTTCAGCATTTAAGAAATAGTGTGAGAATAGGGAAAACAGCACAAACCTGCGTTTACAGATTAAAAAAAAATCAAGGGAAAAAACCTCTGTGAGATTTAATTCTTATTTTTTATCAAATCTCAATTTTTATTTTCGTCAAGGGAGACTTATGAAAGCTTTGATGACAAACATAACAAAAGGTGTTTCTTCTTGAAAAATCTCTGGAGTTCCAGGGCCACGAGGGCTCTGTGCTGCCCTTACAAACATGATGAATTTCACTCGGAGAGAGCAAGACGAATTACAGCTACTCTAGAATAAAGAAAGAAACACAACCCAGGCCTCGAAAAATACAATACAGAATGAGATTCTTGTTCCAAGCAAGTCAAACAACATAGTAACAGCCTGTTTCCATAACAATCTTCATTCCTTTCTCTTCTGCACAGGTAGCACCACAGGGCAATGTATTGATTACTATATAATAGTTGACAAAATGATGCATTATTCAGCAAATTGCCACATGCAGTAACAGGAACCACGCTTTTCTCCGAAATTATACAAGCCTACTTTTTAAATTTTATAGACAACCAGCATGACAACGCATGGTATATATAAAAGGAAAGGCTTCTTACACTCATAGCTCAAAACAAACTCCTCTATCTTTGTCAACACTAGTTAGATGAGGAGAAAGCCAATTTTTGATGTAGTGATACTGTATCAAGGACATGCTCGGATTAGAATGTCACCTTCCCAGAAACAGCTCCTGATGTTACCCATGAGGTTTTCTATTTCCTGCAGTTTATTTGCTACACGCTGGCTGCTGGCAGGGCCTCACCCAGCCTGAAACTCGAGCAGTTTTGTGCACGTCCAGCATGTTATCTATTGAGAATAAGCAGCTTTAATACTTGAAAGCAATAAATTTGCATGCTGAAACAAATGTTCTCTCTCTCTCCAACCAAGTCATCAATGGTGAAGATCTTGTCTCAATGAAATAATTCACTATGAATTTTTTTTTTATATTTACTCAAAGATTTGATATTAAAAGGGTATAAAAGGTAAAAAAAAACCAAACATATGCAGCCCAAAGAAGCACTGTCAGAACAGCACTGCCACAACATAAGGCCAGGAGCTTTTTGCAAAATTAGGGCACAAGACAAGATAGCTCAGGTCAGACATCCAATCACTATCGGACTGCAAACTTCACTGCAGATTTGCCCAGTGGAAGATCTACTTCAGGCTCTGTGTGCCCAAAAAGATCACTTATTTTCTTCAAGACTGAATACTGGGCGCAACTAAAAGTTATTTAACTTGCCCTAGAAATTGTCTCACTTCAAAACGCAGAAACATTTAACATTTTAACAAAAGCTGTGATTTTGATCTCTTCTTGCTACTCCAGATGTATAGGCCTTAACTTGCATATCTGTGCCTTTAATTCACTCTGAGTAATTACATTTAGGTCAGTGGAATCACTCCAGCTTTTTCTTGGTGTGTCTAAATGGAATGTTGTCCTAAGGATCTGAAATGAACTGCAAGAATTTTGAGTAAGAGCACACGTACACAAGACAAAAAAGATTCCAGAACACTTTGTGGAGGGAAACGTATGGGGAATACAAGTGTGTATGCACAGGAAATTAAGCGAAATGCTTGAATAATTCAGAATCATAACGAGCAAAATTGAAACACTGGGATTTTAATAACCGACTTTATTTTTTTTAATCCCAATTATTAAAACATTGCGCTGCTGGCTAGAAAATCAAATACTGATAATAAGTATTTGGAGAGAGCTTTTACTGCATGAACAAAACCTCACGTTTAAAAGATTAATAAAGGACTGTCTTTATATACACATACAGTCAAAAATGACCAAAACTGGAACAAAAAATGAAGCTGAAGATCAATTATTTAAATGCAGAAAGTCTACTCAAGTGATGCTAAAACGGAATTAAGCTTAGGAGAAAATAGAACCTAACTGAGAGGTTCAGAAAAGTGTATTAGTATATGCTGGGAAAGTAATTTTTATAAATTACAATTACTATATTCTTTATGATAATAATGCAGTCTTACAAAAGCAAACTAAAGATGTACATCAACTTTGTACCAGATCTCTATGCTGCACATGCTGCTGGCAATCGATGCACGCTGCTTTCAGGACACGCTGACCTATGGATTTAAGGTACCCCAAGTAGAATACAGATGGGTAATCAAGAAAATAATGATCCCGAGGTTGCAAAACGGCTTCTTTCCATTCTTTTTCTGTGATAAAGGAATCACTGCCTCAGGCAGTTCATAGTTGGAGACAAATTTGAAAGGAAACATTCCTTTAGAGGCAGAGACAGAGAATCGGGCACCTTGCAAAACTGAACTGCAGTTAACATGGAAGAAGCTGACTCTTGGCTTCATTTATGAGTAAAACTCTCTGAAATCCCAGTACTGTGTACAGGTTCTTTCCTCTACCCAACAATCTCAGCTCACTGCCCCCTGTCCTGAGCAGGGCTGGGTGCCACACAGCATGGGCTGGAGTACTTCTGTGCCAAGCATCGCTGACCAGAAGACGCTGATGGTCTGGGCAGCAAGGACAGCAGAGCAATGAGCCCTTATTCGCACTGTGAAGTTCTCTAGTGGAAGCACTGATTTGCCTCTGTAACCCAGAGCTTCCCACAAACTTCACTGAAATTTGCTGGAAACACACCATTGGATCAAACGCTAAAGGCCTCCAACAGCATGGTTTCTCAAGCTCTGCCTCATTAGGAAGCCAGGATAAAAATACAGCAGCATGAAAAATAGATGAGCAGCTTTTCCTGAGTCTGAAACCAGAAAACAATGACACAAAACCAAAAATCACATGCAGCAATCTCTCCTGTATTTCCCAAATGCCAGCATTAACGCTCCCTCTCCCAGAGGCTCATTAAACAAACCAGCTGTATAACGCGCTCTGAAAGGGAGAGATCCAGGAGCAAAGAAAGTAAACTCAGACACCAGAGGCCCATGCAGAAACGCTGCTTTTTGCTCTAAGGATGGTCTGCTGGAGGGCAGTCGGCCTGGCCATGCTGACAAAAACCTCCACGTTCTCCCCATCTAACAGGCAGTTCTGACAGCTGCAGCCAGCCTGAGATTTTTAAATCAAAGCTATCTGTCTCAACACCTGGAAGCCACATCAGAAAGCACCGCTGTTTTGTGTACAGCCATCTTCTCCTACCGGAGCCAAATACTGCACAAAAACACCTTTTTCCTCCTGCTGAAACACCTCATCTCCTTGCACCTCGGCCGCACAGTGAGAGCCACGTTACAGCTCCGCCATTTCTGCAGCCTCTGGAGAAGACTTTTGTTTCCCACTGCTCACTTATTCCCTGAGAAATCATTTTTTCCTTGCTTTCCCTTCTTGTCTTTAATTTATACGTATATAATTTATTCTTTTCTTTATCTTAAGCCTGAATCTAGAATCCTTCGCACTAAAGGAGGGCGACAGAAGGCGGTTGTCTCCTTCCAGGCGGAGCAGCTCCGGCTCCACAACATGGCTCCTCCCGCCCCGCTCCACAAAATGGCGGCGGCTCGACCCACCGCCGCCTGGAAAGGCGCAGGGCGTCCCGCAGGAGGCCGCGAACACCACTTTCTTTTGTGTTCGCTATTATTTTTCTCTCCCTGCTCTCAGGCCTAGAGGGGCGGTGCGGGCAGAACCTTCTGCACAGCCTCAGCCTGACCCGCGCAGCCGCTCCACCCCCGACTGCTGCGGGACGACGCCCCGCCGTGGGGCACAGCGGGCCGGGGCCGCGCGGTGTTGGGTTTCTCGGCGCAGCGGTTGCTCCTGCGATGGGGGAAGGGAGCAGCTCCCCCGCCCGCAGTCATCTGCTGCGAAGGGTTGGAGCTCTCGGAGCCAATTAGTCAGAGAGTTAACCGCTTCGCTGCGGGGAAACTCGAGCTTCAGGCACGGGCTCGGGGAGGTGAGGAGCTGAAAGCGCTGCAGGGACCAAACGGCCGCATCCAGAACTAAAGCGCGCCAGTTCTAATGAAGCTGTAAGCGTTTCCAGATCCGTGCCATCCTATGGGGAAGTGCTGCATTTCCTACGCGAACAACACCTCTGCATGGGAGAGCAGTGATAGAACCCATCTCCCTCTAAACATATGTGTCTTCATAATCCCCTGTGCCCAGACACAGTCCTCCATGCACTCATCTTTATTATTGTTTTTTTATCCCCTACTGCATTGGAACAAAGCAAACAAGGTTCAGTTCCCAGCCCTTTCCTCCAGCGCCATGCCTGGACACCTAAGGGCAACAGGCTCCCACTTGACTCGGCAGGTCAGCAGACCTATTTTTGTGCTCTCTGTATTCCATGACGTACAAGAGAATATTGGATCAGACTGTCAGGGAAGCCAGGAGTGTTTACATGGCAGCACAAAATGCACTAAGCTCCCCACCTGCTGCTGGGGAGAGGCCATCCTGGTGCTGCAAGGCTGCTTCCACTCCAGGCAGGAGCCACAGCATATGACACACCTATTCCTACAACACTAGTCTCTCCAACGGAGAAAACGAGGTCAAATCTCCCTCCTTACCCAGGAAAAAGTTCAGAGTCTGCAGAAGGAGCTAACAGGGTTGGCACTGTGACATCTCATTTCTAAGCTTCAAGAGCAGCTCTGGCTACACTGAAGTGCAAATCTACATTCAAATAAACACTGTAGAGAGGAAGAAATGTACTGCAAAGCAAACAGCAGATTTAGGCTTCCAAGCTCTGAGCCTTGGCAGTACAAGAGCTCTCTTGTTCCTGTTGCCTCCCACAGCTGCATTCACTAAATATATCCTGCACAGAGAACTGCATTTCTCCACCCCTTTTGCAGCCCAATCACATTTGTACAAACACCACCAGGCTCCCTTGGGATGTGCAGCCAGGCAGCAGCGTGCCCTAGTTACAGGCATCATGAAGAAAGGGGGAGACTAATAACAGCTCCAGCAGGATGAGACTGTTACGGCCACGGGTTATTTCAAGAGGAATGTGTGTGCAGCTGACTGATATTTAACCATTAAAAACACAGTGCTTTCTCCCTGTAAAGATACATCTCACTCATTTGGCAAAATGAGTTACTCTAAATCACTCCCATAGGGCTGGCCCATGGAGAGTAATCCAATTTTAACTTCCAGCAAACCAGGGCTTTGTGGCATGTTGCTTCAAGGTGTAACAGAAGGTAAGCAAGCACAAAGCCACATGATGCATTGCAAATCAACACCAAGCAAAAATCTACAAGCTAGAGGGATATCCAGTTTGGCACCTTTCAAAGGTACTTAGATGCAACAAATAAAAATACTTTCTCTAAGTTGATGAGCCCAGTGCTACCCTCTGCTGCACGGATCACAGGGAAACGTATTGACCAAACGTAGATAACAGCAAATTGAGGTAGAAAAGCACATGCTGCTGTTGTCCTTCCCCATACAGTTGTGGACTGTTGCATCTCTGCCTCCACGGGAGAAGACAGTGACTTAATTTTCTGTATGATCAAGGTGCTTTCCCTATTACCCCCCTATTCTGTTCTCCATATTTTCTCTGCTCTCGTATCTCTTACTTGGAAAGATGAGTATTCTGGCACAATGGAGCCTCAGTTCCAGCCCCAAAAACACTGCTGTGAGCACCATAATTCCACAGCAGATCAAGTTCCAATAAGGGAAAAAAGAAAAAGGAGGAGTCAGTGATTTCCTTCACTCTCAAGCTGCTAGCCAGCACGGATTTTGACCCTCTCTTGGTCCCTGCTTCTTTCTTTCCTGACAGTTTCCTATTTCTTCGACACCTCCAGCTCTTCTAGCAGCAGATTTGACAGAATCTGGTCAATTTTTCAAGCCATCTCATTTTAAGAAGTCAGTGGGAGCTGACTATGTCTTGCAATCAAACCTCACTGGAGGGAGAATTAGTAACTCGTGCATGACCTTAATCTGTAGGATTTTGTAGATAGCTTTTCTTGTGATCTCAATGCTCAGAGCTTATCATACATTCAGTCTCTATCTGCAGCCCTAGAATGTTTTGCAACAAAAAGAACCCAAATTCATTTTGATATAATTATGTGGTCACAGCAGTCCATGCTCACTACTGAATAAATATAGAGTACTTGGGAATAACTGGTAGAATTAAATCATAAATTGTAAAAAGCAAAACAGCAATAAATAGATAATGAAAATATCTATTACATAAATATGGTCAGGCTTAGATATCAAATATTCGTGAAGGAAAACAGTACGAGGAATATTTGAGCAATATTTTAGCATCATCTTTTTCCATTTTGCAAACATAATAGGAAGAACCTAAGCTCATGCTGAAGCATCCACATGAAAAGCCTTATTTTCAAAGGTAGCAATAGCTCCTGAGGTATCCAAACCCTTTGAAATCAGATGAACCATTCGCAAAATGGCCACAGGTCCCTAAGCTTAATTAAACAGTTGAAAGCTACAAAAGTTGGAAGACTGTGCTGTGTTCTGTTGTTTTCCCTGCCCGTTCTCTCCTCTGCTTTTCTCACCCTCCTTAAACAAATCAGCCTCAAAGACCATTCTAGTGTCATGTGGAAACTGAGACGGCTTTCATTAGTCACATTCTGTGGAAGAACCCTGAGCAGTTCCTGCTGCAGTGGTTGTACAGAACACGAGCCCTGACCGCTGGGGACAGAAGTCAGGATACTGTGGCAGAACCACAGTATCAAGGCTGTGCTTCAGAGAAGAATGGGCAGCGCCAGCTCGTTTTGCATGCTCTGACCTAGATAATTCTATGGGATCCTACGGACTTACGAGTGCATGCAAAAATGGGTATTCCCTCCTGCATGGTTCTACAAGATAGAGAAATGAAAAATACGAAAGCTGATGTTACGATTGAGAGGCAAAGGAGACCCAGGAGCGCGTGCTGCCTTCAAAACCACTGCAGTTCTGAAAGCAAACAAAGTTTTAAGAAACCAAGATCTAAGGTCGCATTCCTCAGACAAAGCAGTGACTCACCCACATTCCTGACTGCTCCAACAAGAGGCGAGTCCTGCTCCTGGCGGACCAGATCCTCTGCACTGCACTGTGCCAAGCAATGTCCAGCACTGGCAGCACATTGGAGCTGATGCAGAAGGGGCCAAACCAGTGTTAGTAAGGGGCCCCCTTTGCTGCTGGGTTAGCTGGAAAATTCTTGAGCCCAGACCTCCTGCTTTTCATGCCTGAAAATACAGTGAAAAGGAAAACAGCCATTACTAGTGATTACTTTTCAAAGGCCAAACTCATACCAAGATTGAGTAAGATTGCTCAGAGGCAGCAGCTGAAGTTTTTCACAATCCAGGGACAGATGAGACAAGTAAAAAAAAAATAACTGAGCAGAGGGAGCCAGGCAGCACACAGGTGGGTAAGCTGCTGTTTCTAACCTCAAAGTTACTCATGAGGGGAAGTGGGACCTTGGGATGTAGAAGCTCAGTCCTGAGCATCTGGGCACTTGGTCATTCCCAACACAGGAGGTAGACCTCACTGATGTAGGGAAAATCCTTAACAATACAGGCAGCTAACAGAAGCACACAGAAGCTGTGCTATCTGTGTGGAAAGATCCAGCCTCGCACAAATAAATGATCCCTGAGCCACCACGGCAATGCCTGTTGCACTCTCCTGGCATCAGCAGGCAGATAAAGCACGTAAAGGCAGTCCTCCCTGCTGCTACACAGCTTGTCAGCAGTGCTGCAAGCATTTCAGGCATTTCCCACAGCCCTCCACAGACTGCGGCAGGGACTCGCCCAGTGGCACCCCAGGGGCTGCCCAACAAATCTGTTTAGCAAGCTGCAGAGCAGCTAATATCCATCTCGTTTATTAAATGAGAACAACAGAAGCAGGGGGATTTAAGATATGCTGGTATGATTTCTGTGATGTGACACGCTGCTTTGCAGAAGCAACTGCTGCAGCGGCAAATAAGACCTCATTTTAATAAGGCAATTCCTTGCGCGAAGGCAGAGAAATCATCGCAGGCGATAACTCCCGATCTATTATTACCACAATTTGGGGAGGCTCTTGGTGTTTCCAACCCCAGGCTGCTTTGGAAGGGCAGTATTTGTCACCCACCCACAGCACGAGGACAGAATCCCAATTCCACCCAGGGAGGCGGGTGCCCAGGCAACGCAGCAGGATCGGTGCTTGCTGCGCTCCGGCCTCCGCAAACAATTCTTGCCACGTAGGCAGGAGAGAGCAGGGCAATGGAAAATTACTGCGGGCTTTTTCTTAAAGGGCGAGAATCCCCTTTAAGCGGGGAAGGTTGGTCTGCAGTGCGTCAGCGGCACGCTGGGGCGTTAATAAGGCAGGGAGCATTTGCATGGTATTTCAGCAGACTGCAGTGGTAGAAATGCAAAGCAGAGAGCTGAGCAGCGAAGAGGAGACATGGTAGATCTGCTTTCAGCACGGCCAGATGGCAACCCGTGCATGGTGCAGTTAACAGTAGCCATGAGCTGAAGTCACAATAATGCTCTGCCTCGGCTGCAGGAGTCCTTAAGAAAAAAACAATCTCACTTCCCCAGTCACAAAGCTTTTATCAGCTGCTATGAAAAATCGTGGCCATCTTTACCTCCAGTTTCAAGTGAAAAAGAGGCCAATTTCTTAAGGCAGCCCTGTGCCTGCCTACCTTAAAGCCAAACTAAAGAGCCATGCAAATAGCTCTTTAGCTAATAGCAAATGTAATAACACTACGACCCCATTTAAACTGCATGCTACTGCTGGGTGAAAATCAGACATTAGAGATTGCAGACTTACCAATGGGACAGGACTGCACTCCTCTACCAGGCAGAAAGCAGTGCTGCTACACAGCCAGTAGTCTTTCACATCTCAAAATGAGCTCCTGTATCCATAACGAGTTTCATTTTACCACCACAAGAAACAGCACACAGTATCTGCTTACTGGGGGCACCTATAGGGAACCAGGTGCAGGGAATTCCCACTTACCTACAGGTAAATGAGGCAAACCTGCTGCTCTTGCTTGCCTCTTGCTGCATGCAGCTGTTGCTTATGATGACCCCGAGTTGGTTCGGGGGTGCAGCTCTCAGTCATCTCTGCCAATTAAGGTTTTGCTTGCCAGACCTGCAGCAACTTGTCTTTTGGTATTCTTGTATTCTTAATTTGCATGTTTAGATTTTACTCTTCTGTTTTTCCTGGGTTTTTGCTGATTAAAATCTCAGCCCTAGTCTCTGTGTTTTGTTACAACCAGCACATGAAAAATGAAGCCGCTGCACTGGGTTAGGGGACTTCTTGAAACAGAAGCTTCCCCCTAAATGGAAACCTTTATTGTGAAGCTGCTTTCATCGCCAACTCCGCAGGCAAAGTCATTGCATTTAATAGAGGTTGACCTCATTTTCTTGATATTAATGATTACAAGGAGGGAACGTAATTAGAAGCAGTGACTTCTAAACAAGGATAAAGAGCACTTGTTGTTGCTGCCTCCTTCTCACCTCGGGATTCATTCAGTATGGCTACAAAGAGTAACTTGAAACAGCCTCTGGCAGACAAGCAAACTCAAGTCAAATGCAACGATCTCTGGTTTCCGAGAAACCTTTTACAGCTGTATAGAGAAATGAAATGAAACCCTCCAGCACTGCATAATGCTGCTACAGAGACCTCCTGGAAGAACCACAAATGTGCATTGTGGGTGAAAGCTCATCTTGGGCTCAGAAGAGATCTATGTGCAGGCATCCGAGGCTGGAGTAAGCTGTGGCCCCGTGCTTCTCTTCCTGTGGAGCTGCTGGTGTTTTCTGCTGCACTGCTGAGGCCGTGCTCTGACAGACAGCAAAAGAATTTAAGTTCAGTAACCGTGCATGAGGGAGCTGAACGCAGATGTGTCATGGCTTTGCTGGCTTTTCTATAACTTTGCTAATGCAATCTGGGTTTCCATACAGCGGATACTGTTGTCATAAGGGGAAGACCAAATGCAGCCAGTGACTGGATAACCGCATTTCCTGCAGCCAGGGTGGGCGCAGAAATCCACCTGAATATTCATTTTGAATTCATTTTTCCAGTTCTTGTGAAGCCCACAGTGCTCTGCCTTTTGGCTCCATCTTGCCCACAGAGACTCCTGAGCAATTCTCACGTTTCCTCTCACACTGCCCTGCTTGCATGGAGGAACTCACATTGTGTGAAAAGAGCAAATTCTTGTAAAAAGCCCCTGGCTCTCTTAAATTCCCCTTCAGTTGTTGCGGTTTGAGCAAGCATTTCTGCTTGAGCAAGCCTCAAGCTTCCTGATTTCTGCAGATTCCCCCTGCAAACAACGAGGTTCAGCTTTGCTCAAAGGTTTGGCCTGGGTTCTTTCAAAATCAAGGTAACGTTGTTGCCCCCAGCTTAAGACACTGTGTGTTGTTCAGTACAAGGCTGTTTCTCGCAGTGCCAGCCCTTCCGCATCCAGGCACCAAGCAGAACTGTCACGGCCTGCACCTGCAGTGGGTTCACCGTGTGGTTTGTGGCCCAACGAGCATCTCAGCAAGAGGTGAGGGAAGGGCAGTGCCCTTGCGGAGCACAGCTCCCAGGGACTAACATAGGGACAGAAGGACACAGCACAGATTGGCTGTGTTTGGTCTTTGCACTCTGATCAACCCCACCCTTGGCCACACAGGGCCATTCTAGCTCACAGCTAGGTTTTTCCTCTCCCTTTCATACACCTGGGATATCAGATATTCATAAATCAGGCCAGCAGTTCCCAGCACGCCTTGAGCCATTAACCCCATCTTGTGGTAGTGATTCTAGAGAAGCCCTAGGCAGTGTCCTGGGACTGTAGCACAGCTAGCAGCCATGCTGCACCCACTCAGTGCAAGCAGCTTGCTCTCCTCAGGCTTATTTTTAGAGCTGTTTCCCAAGAGCCCTGGGTAAGCTGCCAAGGCCAGCTCCATGCGTGTCTTTAGCAGCAGCACTGTGGGGGTGAAGCCATGTCAGCACCTCTACTCTATCCCCACCACTGTAAATAGGATGTAAAAAATCAGTCCTGGCAGAAATACAAAAGTAATTGTGGAAAATAATCTTAACTGAACCTGATCCATGCTCAAATTCGTCTGGCTTGGGAGAGAAAATGGGGATTTAAAACATGTTTTGCCCTTCTCAGGCCTAAATCTTGAATTTTAAAATCCAGCTGCACTGCACTCAAATTACTTGCAGGGAATTTTTGTAGTTGCTTTTTTAAGAGCGTATCCGTGGTAAATGGAAAAGTGAGCCGTTCCCTCCTCCACCTCTTCCACAAGCCAAGCGCACGATTAAAAGTTGTCGTTGTCAATCTTACTAATGAGAGCCATAGTTAATAGTCATTTTAATTGGGTACAGACCCACGAGAGAGAGCTGGCAGCAGTGCTTGTGTGGCCTTGCAGGCTGCTGGGCTGAGGAGCAGCTCTGGGTGACGGTGAAACAGAGGGTTTTCGGCCAGGCCAGGTGCTGACCCCCAGTATGTTAGGAGATATTTGTCAAGCTGCAGCTTCATGCCCTTCATAACAAACTGCTGAACCTTCCCTTGGTGCCTCTGCTTCTGCTGCAGCTTTGTACCTCTCTGCTGAGCTTGCAAAAACAGCAGTGGGGGAGAAAGAGCATGGCCACCACAGCGTGCTCTGCGTTTCCTTCATGCTGGGATAAGGTTTGACCACGTAAGGGGCCGGAAGACATAGAGGAAACATAGGAAGAGGAACTTCAGGAGAGACACTACCAGCTCTTTCACTCACCCAACTGCATTTCTGGTTTCTGTATTTATACATTTTCTGTATTTCTGTGTTAGCCCAGAAAAGGCCAAATGCAGAAACGGCTACAGCCTGCAGCCAACAGGAGCCCGTTTGATGTGCTGGTAGCTGCAGCTGCAGACCTGGGAAGGGTGTTTGGGAGATACAGAAAGTGGACATTTTGTGAAATCACATGAGACAGTAACCGGCTCAGCTTGGCTCAGTCCTGCTGTCTTACTTCCCCATGGAAACACTGTGCTGCACCATCTGCCACTGCCTCCCTGCAACACTTTGAGCTCCGACCTCAGCCCCGTCTGAAAGGTGCATGAACCCACCAGAAGTCTCCGCCTTTCTCTCCCAAATCCCATGCCCTTGAGCAGGGGGTAAGGAGGCTGTAAATGCACCCATCTGTCATCCCGCTGCCCCCCCAGCCCACACGTGTGCTTTAGCTGACAATTACTGCACAGTCAATCACAACATGTCCTGCCCGCCTAGTGTGGGTGGGCAGGCAGCTGGGATGCTTGTGGTGGAATCCAGTTATAAAGGACGCAGATTTGCAGGAAACTGGGATTTATTTTCTGCTCATGGAGAAACAGGTTCCAGTTGTCTGTTCTGGGAAAATATGCTAAAATATGCATGTTGCTCTCCAAAACACACATAATGCCCACCTAGCAGCCCTGAGAGCGCTTGGGAGATCCCACATCAGCACCCCAGCCTTAGCCCCATGTGCTGTTGGCACAGCTGTGCTGTTAATGCCTGCGGTGGTGGTGTCAGGGCTGCCCCTCTGCTTGGCACAGCCCTACCACACTGACACATTACACTGAATAAATGCAAAACCTTTAAGGGAGAAATGAATGTGAATGCCAAGGGTAGGCTAAAGACTAAAGCAGTGCTATGAGGAAAGGGTTTCTGGGGACCTTGACTTTAACCATGTCTCTTTGCCATCCCACACTGTATGTGAAGACAGATTTTTCACACCCACATCTGCAAACTGGGACTGAAGGGTTTGTACTGACCTCTCCTGAGATGGGGCTGCCAGAAACTGGAAAATATGCAGCTGGTCCCATTTCCTTCTCCACAGTGAGTGTGGGGCTGCTCTGTTTCAATCCAGCCCAGGGAGGTGCACTCAGGTGGGTCCACATCTCCATCCTGTTGTCAGCATGAAATGCTGAAGTCCTCTGAATCTTCCTGAAACTGTGAAATACACAGAGATAAAATGTCATTCATCTGCTAGGAATTTTGTAGTCAAAGCTCCATCTTGGCTTTTTTTTATGACAGAATGTCTTGTTTAAACACAGAAGCGTTCTATCATCAATGAGCAAAACTATTTCAGCAGGCAGTCATGCTATGACTCTGAAGGCTGTTGCAAGTATGAATCGTTTCGGTGATGTGTTAAAACAGCCATTGGGATCACACAATTTGTTAATGTCTGCAAGTATCTCAGAGAAGAAACAAATAATGGAAATGGAAAATGTTCTGGATGCTTCACCAGATGGATACCAGCAGACTTTAAATTCCTCCTGTTCTGAGACAAAGATCAGAACTGCAAAAAGGAAGTTCTGCTTGTCTGGCTGTGCTTTTTGCTTAACACCTATCACAACTTGTGCAAATCCTGTTACACACCTTTGTATACAGAGATTGAGGTCACAGCTGTAATCCAACCAAAACCAGCACAGTGTGTAAAAAGGAATCACATCTTTGCCACACACTTTGTCCACTGCAGTAAACTGGAAAGTAATTCCGCCTTATGAGCTAAGACAAAAAAGGAATTGGGAATTCAAGTGCAAGGGCTGCTAATCTGCCCTACTCGCTCAGCGCGTTAACAGCCAGGAGAATTAAACTACATCTGATATTCAAACAGACAGAGTGAAATGAAGCACAAAATTGGCGAGCAAATAGAACTCGGCTCCTCCAGCTCCGCTCACCGATCTCGGTGCCTGCGATCCCGCACCGGGAGCCGCTCCGGCCCCGCTGGAAACGAGCTGCTGCCACCTGCCGGCTGCACAGCCCCGGGCCTCTGCCCTGCTGCAAAACCTGGAATAGCTGGGGGAAAAAAAATAATTAAATTAACAAACAGAAACTAGGAATGCAGTAAAAACCCGCCGAGAAATAAATGATGCCTTTAGCTTCTGGATTGGTTCGCATCGCTGGGGCTTTTGGATGAGTAGGTGTGTTTGGATGTATGGTGTTTTGTCGTTGGACAAAAGGGTGTGATATAAACTGAAAAGTAAGCAGCAGTACTGCTGCAAGTGAGAAACAAAGGTGTTCCAGAACAGCCCAAACAAGTTATGGTGCACAGTGCTGAACAGCTGAACAAGGGAACTGCCCCGACGGAGTCCTCGTGATCAGAAAACTGGGATTATGTTTATTTGTAAACATGCAAATCTCAGTCAAAGAAATGAATCCTGCTGCAGCTTCTTTCCCTTCCTTTCCCTTCCCTTCCCTTCATGTTTAAGTCCTTGGTTTTTTCTTATTTATTTGAGTTTGAAGGGCAGCAATACTTTTATCTGATATGAAATCTGCTGCTGCTAATAAGAAATTTGGATACCGTGTGTTACTGCCTTGCATACTTTTAGCAACTCCTGACATTACAAGGGAGGTGCTCTCCCCTAGGGACGTGAGGGATGTGAGCAGTGCACCATCCCCTTCCCGTGCCAAAAGAACCAAGCTGTTGGATTTAAGCAGGCATGTTTCTTCTTGAACCACACCTTGCACAGAAGCTTGTATTACTGCTACGTTTATATAGCTTTGCTATAAATGTATAAACCTGAATCACTGAGGTAAGAACAGCAAAATTCCTGCAAACAGATGAGAAAACACACAAAGGAACAAAATGGTGAGCGTGGCTTTTTCCCTGCCCTTCCGCCTGAAGCAAGCAGTGTTTCCACAGCAGTTGGTGCAGAGAGAGCTCCCCCTCCTGTCAAAAATCACCTTGAGCCCCTATTCACCCCTGGGAGCCTTCCAGCACTGACAGGAATGGGGCCATTGGAAACGTCAGTTACCAGATGTGCTGAATTATCAGTGGCTACAGAAACAGAACACTGAGCGTTTTTTACACATCCCTTATTACTTTCAGTTGCTTAGCCAAACAAAGAACTTATTCCTGTCAATGGAAACCATCCAGCATGCAAACGTTCATCTCAGTGTCTGCAGCTTCGCTAAAGGAGCCCCCCAAAAGCCCCAGGATTACCTTATTGTCTGCTGCAAGGTAATCAGCATCTGACAGCTTTCACCTTGTGGAATCTCATCCAGCATTTGAGCAGTATAGAAGAGTCTCCTATAAAT